ATAAACCAAAAATGCTGAAGGTGTCTGGCATCTGGTTTTCCAATTATTTACATTGTTTTGAGGTATTTGATGATGCCTTGGTTTCTTGTTTCCTTTACTCTCTGTTAGCTTCAGTCCTAGCGGTCAAATGGTGTCCATGCATCATTTTTTACTTGTACGAACTTGGAAGTATGAAGATGTGTTAGTGCATCTCCCTTCCCGACTTACTCGTCAATTTACTGCAAGTGAACGCTAGTATGCTACTCAGTTCTATGCCATTGCTTGAGCTGATAATGAAGAGAATTGCTCAAACATCGAGTGTAAATTGAATTAGCTTCATAATGTAATACTTAGTGGATGATTAATTTATTTCTAGCCGCTTTTTTAGCTCGATAGCTCGTGTTTGACTGCCTGAACTTGATCTTGTAGGTTTCACCCTATTTCTAGGATTCATAATCGACCTTATGCACCGTTACATTAGAAAACTTTTTGGGTTAAGGAGTAGCACTGGATCTTCGAAAGAGGAAGTCCAACGTCTTCAGGAAGAGAGAATGCGGCTTAAAGAGAAAGACGACAAAGCTTCCATGGAGCTAAAGCTTCTGAAAGAAGAAATTTCAACCCTATCACGGAATTTGAAGAAGCTGAAGTCAGAATCCAAAGAGAGACAAAAAGATTGAAACTGCTGAAGCTCATATTGCTTCCCTCCAAAAACAATCTGCAGATTTACTACTCGAGTACGACCGTTTATTGGAAAATAACCAAAAACTTCAGAATCAAGCTCTAGGACACGAGATGAGGAAATCTTGAAAAGAACCCCGAGTTCCATGTACCCATCGATATTGGTGTTTCCTAAGGTAAACTGTTGAAAATTTTGTAATACTATTGAATCTAGAATTTTGATTAATTTGTTCATCCTTTTGTGTTGTTGTAATAGCTGAAACCAGAGTAACATAGTTACATGATAAACCAATGTTTGCAATCATGTATGGCACCGAAATCAGTGAAAGAAATATGAGGGAAAACTTGGAAATCTCTATGGAGCAGAACAAGCTTTATCTCCACCGAGCTTCCATGTCTGAAATTGATATGGAAGGTTCTGTTGTGCGACGGCTAAATTAAAGCTAATAAGGTTAATGGAAAAAATGGAACACATAATGTTAGAAAAGGAGCATAAAATCTTAAAATAACAATAATGGTTGCACTTGTAAATGTTATTGTTGTATGTAAAATGTGTCGAACAAAAAATCCCACGTAAGAAATTAGGTTGAAAGCTGGAAATGTTATAGGTCGTAATAACAAAACTGGTTGCACTCAAAAATATTATCCAATTTTCTAAAATTGGGCGAACAAAATAAAGACGCTAACTAAATAAGTTGAAAGCTGAAATTGTTATCAATTGTGGTAATAAATCTGGTTGCGTCCATGAGTGTTAGCGGTCGATAAAAAACGAAATTGAGATCGAATTTGTTTTAAGTTATTTTAACAAAATTGATTTCGACCGAAAATGTTACGAAGTTTAGAAAATGTGTTCATAAAAATAAGGACAGTAATAAAATAAGTTGAAAGCTAGAATGCCATCAATGGCGTTAACAAATCCGGCTGCATCAAAGAACATGAGCGGTCGCTAAGATATTAGGTTGAGATCAAGAATGTTATAAGTTGCTTTAACAAATATAATTTCGACCTAAATTGTTACTGGAGTTTAGCAAATGAGTCAAATGAAATATCCAAGGTAACAAAGTAAGTTGAAAGCTGAAAATATTATCAGTCGCGTTAACAAATCTAGTTGCGTCCAAGAATGTGAGTGGTCGCCAAGATATTCGGTTAAGATTTAGAATGTTATAAGTTGCTTTAACAAATTCGATTTTAACCAAAATTATTACCGTAGTTTAGCGAACGGGTTAAACAAAATACCCACAGTAACAAAATAAGTTGAAAGTCGAAAAATGTTATCAATCATGTTAACAAATCCGATTGCGCTCAAGAATATTAACAGTCACAAAGAAAGTAGGTTGAGATCGATATTGTTATAAGTTGCTTGAACAAATCTGGTTTTGACCGAAATTGTTACTGGAGTTGAGCAAACGAGTCAAAGGAATTAATCAAGGTAACAAAAATATGTTGAAAGCCGAAAATATTAAACAAATTCGATTACGCCAGAAAATGGATTGTGTAATTGGATTCGAATAAGAAAAAGAAACTATGATATAATGTTCAAAACTTATGCTCTGATTTGTTAACGAGTTGTCTGCTCCAATAGTTCTGAATACTAAAAATAATCGAATGAATGAGCTGCAACCTTATCGCATAAGATAGCTGCTTAGCCCTCCAACTCTGCAACCTCCGAGAGATCTGCTCAAGGAGAGGCGCACAATCACAGATCGTAAGTCTCCTCGTGATCAAAGGAATGCCAAGATACCTGTCACTTTTGATGCCAGTGATAGAATGAATCAGCTCCACATCCATTCCCGAGGAGAAAAACACAGTTTTCTTGGATTCACCTGCAGCCCGAAAAACTGATGAAACAAATCCAGAACCCGCCAAACCCTAAAATTGAATCCAAATCCCCTCTAGTGAAAACTAAAAGGCCATCAGTAAAATGGGGATTTGTAAGACGAATCGTGAGACATTTAGGGGGATAAAAAGTTCATCGCCAAAACAAATATGGGGAAAGGGGATTCCTTGCCTGACGCCCTTCGCCCTCTCAAAGAATCCACCAAATTAGTGAATTACCATTCAAAGATACCGAGAACCTAGCAGTGGTGATGCACTCCCTACTCCATCTAATCATCATTCTCGGGAAGTCCAGAGCCTCAAGCGCCCTCAAAATGAACCCCAAATTCAAAGATCAAATGCTTTCTACAAAGCAGTCTTAATAATTATAGCCTTTAGGGTTTAACCAACTCACGAGTCATCAGAGTATTATCAATAATACTCCTACCTGAGACAAAGGCACTTTGACTAAGCGACACCAGCTCCGACATCACATTTTTTATTCTACACAAATAATACATGTAATGCATTTATAAATGACATTACAACAAGAAATGGGCCGATAATACTTCGTATGAGAAGGATCGGAAACTTTAGGGACAATGACCAAGGTAGTTACCTTAATCACATCGTCCCCCGTAAATCAATATTTCACGCATATTTAAAGAAGTAAGCCGTTAAACCATCAGGGTCAGGGCTTTTGTCCAAATTCTGTGCAAACATTGCCTCCTTAACCTCCACCCTTGATACTGGCCGAGGGGAAATTAATTTTATAGTGACATGAGATACGTATTTTTGTATGTGAATTTATTAATAAAATTCTAAAAACAAAATCAGCATTTTTTAACTTTTAAAAGTTTATGAATTAATTGTTAACTATTTGGTGTAATTTAAACCGTTGATTCAAATATATTTTAAAGTTATATGAAATACTTGTCATCGTGCCACTTTATTTTCAAAATTAAAAATTAATTTATTTATGAGTTAATTTTTTTGAATTAATTACTAATATACAATTTATTGGCTAATTAATCCAGATTGGGTACTGTAAAGGCAAGGGTGACCCTCCCAATCCAATTTGCTCTATTCACAAACGTCATAATTTGAACTCCTGATCTTGTTTAAGAATTCTAGTGTCTCGTCCTACTAGACCAACTGGTTGTTGGTATTTATGAGTCAAACTTTAATTGATATTTTTATTAATAAGTTATGGTTGTATAAGTTCATATTATTAATAAATATTTTTTATTCACATTAGAAATGTGATAAAAATGTAGCTTTATAAAAGCTATTATCCTATTCTAATTAATAGGATTTTTCTAATTAATCTAAGATAAGTGCAAAGCAGTATTTATTTAAAGGTAACTCTCAATCATTTAATATTAAACACTCGTACTTTTAACATTCGTAGTACTCTCAAGGAATAACAATAATTCCTTTATTATTGAGGTTATTTGATTCGTGCCTAATTAATAAGATTTAAACTTTCAATCTCAGTTATATGTAATAAATTATATAAATTAAATATAATTTAATTGATCATTATTGTAAAAACATTTTTTCGACAAATTATTGTAAAAACATAAAAGTATAAATTTAAGAACATTTAAACATAATATTATCTCGGATAGATATTCATCTAATATTTTATTAATCTAACAAAGACAACTAAAAGATTAACTTTAAAGAATTTTTAGAACAAATATTACACTGTAATCACTTTAAATTAATAAAAAATAACCTCAAATTAGAACATAAAATAAAAATAAATACCAACCAAAAGAATTCATCCAAATATATGTATATTGAATATATATATAATAAATTATATATTTAGTCATTTTTGTAGTTTTATTTTATCCATCCAACTAAATTAAAAAAACATATCTAATATTACATTTCAATTTCATTTTAATCACTCATATTAAAAGGTAATGTCATATTATTATTAAAAAAATAAAAGAATTATTACATCAGCATCATTTTAATAATGAGTAATCAAAAACGGAATTAAAATATAATTTTAAGTGTGATTTAAAAAAATAATTAAATAAAATCACAAAAATAATTAAATAACTGAATACATAATTTACTCATATATATAAAAATAATTAAAAAAATTAATGCAAGAAAATAATGGGACCCATAGTTTGCCACCTCACTCTCCTCCCCAAACTAAAAAAGCACGACCCTTTACTCGCAGCGTCCTGCTTCCTCACGTTCTATTACCAGTATATGTATATATACATATATGCCATTGCTGCGAATCCCGAATACCACGCGCGTGATTCAAGTTTACCCCAATATCCCGTGAATCACGCCCCTCGTCAAAAGCGAAAAAAGATATACCAGTTGGTGTGTTGGGTTAGTTTCGCCTTGCCTTCGATAAATACTGAAGAACGAGAGAAATATTGTCTCTCTCTGTCTAACGGCTACTTTTGGCGGCGTTGTTGAACAACTGAAGACTGTGAAGGCAAAACAAAAAAGAGGGGTCAATTTGGTTTCAGTTTTGAAGGGAGGCAGAAGATATGGATTACAACGGTCATCAGTAAATTTCATCTCTTTTGCTGCCCTGTGTTTTGAGAGTTCTTGTGTCTCCGATGTTTGTTTCTGGTTTTTCTTTGATTTTAAGTGTTTTTTATGGATTAAATGCTGCGTGTGGAAATGGGTTTGCTTTGATTCTTTCTCCCCTTTAATTTACCTTGTGTGGATATGCTAAATTTGTGTTGTGCACTGCATCTAGTATGATCCCCTTTCGTTGTTGCTAGATCCAAATGGCACAAATGTCCCTTTTCATTATTATACATGTGGTGTTTGTTTGAGTCACTGTCATTGGATCCAGTGCTTCGATTTTACTTTTATCCATTTTTAGGTAAAGCATTGTGATGTCCATCTGCATTGGCCTGAATGTTGTATATTTATGTTTTTTTAATATATTTGATTGGTGGCAGAAATACTTGGAATTGGCATGGGGAGAATTTTGGTGTTCAAAACAACTCTGATTCTGGTAAATTATTTCCTTGGATGCTGTTTATTTCAAGCCAATACCTTCAAAGTAACCAAAATGATCTGAATAACATTTATGCAGATCCCTCACGAGATGATTGGACTCAACTGACCTTCAATGAGGAAGACCATTCCTACATGTTTGATGAAACAACCCCTGTTAAGGAATGTGGAGATCTATCATACTATTTTACACATAATGGTAACTTTCTTCGCTTTCTTTGTATCTTCTCGTATTTATAACAGCTGTTCTTCTCTTTCTTTTAAGGTAATAGATTGTGAATTTCAGATAATATAAGAAAGGAACCAGAGGATGAGAGGGAAGCCTCTTCTCAAATTAGAAAAAGGTGTAGGATGTTTCGGTTTGACACTCATGACGTAGAGTCTTCGCTTTTCTGTGAAGAGACGCCATCTACATTCCTAAAATCAAGTGTGAGTTCTGCCTACTTGTTGGATCCATGGAATACAAAATAGAGGTTAAATGTCGTAGTTTTTACGAAGTTTTTGTTTGTTTGTTTCCAATAGGAGACTGATCATTTAACTGAAGAGGTTTTACCCGATGCATTTCAATGGGGTGCTGGATTTTCAGGTTTTCATTTTTATACAATTAGCAATCAACTTGAATCAAATTCATACTCATCATAACAATATATTGCAGAGGATGCATCAGCTTCCAGTTATGAGGGCCTAGATCAGTTGTGTGAAGGGTGGCTTGCTGATTATTTTAATGATGCTGATATGTTTCTTAGCACTGATGATATGTATGCATCTGTGGACTCTCAGCACTTTTGTTTCCTCGTGATATTAATATATTCTGATTGCGTTATAATATTCAGGAATCTTACTGCAGCATCTGATGTTCATATTGATATTACAGGTATGACTCTTCTTCTGAGTAAATTTCTGTGTTCTTGTTATTTTCATCTTTTATTCCGATCTGTACTTCATAACTAACTTGATTCTCTGTTCACAGAGTTGAACAATGCGCCACCCGAGCCTGGCCCTGATGCTGTTCAAAAGCAGGGAACTCAAACCTCTCAAAATGTAGTTTTCAAAAGTAAACTATCTATTCTTTTTCCAGTGTTCATATCTGTTGAATTTGGTTTTCCACTTTAGCTCATGTTTCATCTCCAGTATGAACCTATATGAACATTCTCTTCCCTTTCTGCCGTACAATGGATTGTTTTTATGTCTATTCAAAATACATTCCGATTGTATTTGGCGGCTGATTTAGGTAGAAAGTCATTGAATTGCCCTCCCTCGAAGCTACAGTCTTCTATTGCCTATCCATTTGCTTTCATTAAGCCCTGTGGTTTCCATGGAGATGTTACCCTCGACATTATAAACCAGCGAATCCAAACACCCCCACCTTCAAAACTAAAAGAAAGCAATGCTCTGCCATTTTCCGCATTTTCCAGGAAGCCGATCGTCGGCAAAACTAAAATCCGGACCGAAGGAGGTAAAGGCAGCATCACAATTATGAGAACCAAAGGATAAAACTACGTTTCTTAATTATTCCCGCCTGTCAACTGGTAATAGAATCTCATACAAGCAGAAATTTTGTATTGTAGCATAGGCTTTTTACGGTTTATAAGTAAATGTATATCGATGGAAGTAAAAACGGCCTTTTGCCAATGTTTTGTTCGTGTTCGTAACAAATCTTTCAGAATAAAGTTTCTATCTTTATTGTTTTAATTTTGAATTGAAAGTCTTTTTTTATATCAATTTCATTTCAAATCAGTCCAAACGATTGTTAAATAATGATACAGACATGATATGGTTTTTCCAACCCAACGAAGACCACTGTTATTTCTTGTTTTTAGTCCCGCCCTGATCGTTCCCTCCGGCCGCCGCCTGTGCCGCCTTCCTTGCTGCCTTCTCTTGCAAGGCCTTTGCATATCTGCCCATCGTACACAATTCCCAAAAGATCTGAAGTAAAGAAAGGAGCAAAATTTATAACAAAATAAAGAAAATTAAAGGAACAAAGAGGCAACCTTTCACGGCGTTGTTCAGGGGTTAACCCATCGTCCTTGGAGTTCTTGCCTCCCTCTCTCTCGATCTCGTTCTCTCTGGTTGCCCCGTTAGCTTCAGTTAAGGAGAAAAAGGCAAAGCATGGACACACACAAAACTAAAAAAAACCAAGTTATGAATTATATCACATGAATCCTACTGAATAGAAGGATATGAGAGATATTGTTGATTCTCAGAAAATAAATCAGCTACACACTAAACAAGAAACGAGATGAAATTGATGCTATGGTGAGAAATAAATGTCCTTTGATAGAATCAAAATAAGGCGTGGACTTGAGGAAGAAAGGAGATATCTTATAATGCCAGATCTTTGGAAGACTCGAGAAGCCGCACTTATTCTGTTCTTACCATTTTATTAATCAATCAATCATTAATTACTTAAATTATTCAATCATTGTTTATCTATATCATTATTTATAATTTAGGAAATCATTGTTTATCTATATCATTATTTATAATTTAGGATAAAGTATAAGTATAGTATGGGTTGTTGTTTTATTAAATATTTTGACTATTTAAAATTATAAAATTATTATTTAATTATAGAATAATATTCTGTTAATTTTTTTATTATTAAAAGTTATAAAATGATCATGTGACTATTTATATATTTCAAACTCGATATTTTTTATTTAAAAATTAAAAAATTGATGACAATCTAAATCGAACATTAACATGTTGACTTGTATCACGGAACTTCATGGGGCCAATGGAGCTTTGACCCCACCAATTTTTTTAATTGTTAATAAATATTATATATATATATATATATAAATAAAGAAAGAAAGAAAATTTTATTTAGTCCCCTCAAATAAAAAAATATATTTATAAAAAAAATTAACCCCCACTTTAATAAAAAAATAATATTTAACCCCCTCAATTAAAAAAATATATATATTTATGAAAAAATTAAAAAATATTGTAATCCCCTTCTTAATAATTTTTTTGTTCCACCCATGACTAATATTTTATAAAATCTGATTTCATAATCATTTGAGTTATATTTTATAGATCAATTATATGTTTACATTATGTTGTTGAGTTAATGCTTTAAATATTATATCGTTGAATCAATGTTTGAAAACAACGGTGTTTATTTTAAATTTATTTTGAAAGGAAAAAAACATAATTTAAGGATTTATTTTTACTTAAAAAATGGATTCCCGAGTTTAAGTTTAATCTCACGTCCGATTTTAAGGAGGAATTTTATACTGCTTGTTCTACTGATCTTTGGATTTGGGCGGTTTAATTTGGGCCTACTTTTATATAATTATAAATTAGGTAAATTATTGATAAAATCAGGGAAAATATTAATGGTGCCAAAATTATTAGAAAAACATGTCAACTTAGAGTTTATTTTATAAACTACGGTGAATACTACAGTAAGTAGAATTTGTCATGATTTTACGACGAGTTTTATAAAAAATATTATTTTATTATAATTTGACATGTTTTTGTTTTGACGAATTTCAAAATATTTAATTTTTTAGAACTCGTCAATGAGCAGAAGGTATTCTGAAAATATTTGTGTTACTATTAATGATCTCCAACTTTTTATACCTTAATGGTTCATTAACACAATCATCAATGCAATCTTTTTGTCAAAATATCTTTTTGTGATCAATTGGGCCCAAATCTCACCCAATTAAATCTAAACATTATTTAATGGAATTAATCACATTGACCAATCTATGTTTTGAGTCAAAACTCAAATGTTATCTCAAAATTCAATTCATTACGTTTAATCTAAAAATGAGTTATTAGATCCTCACATGTATAAAGATGACAATCGTAATTACATTGAAAGTTTAAACAATTACTAATATACAGATAACTTGTTTTTGGAAAGTCATTGATGTAGAAATGAAATTGTAAATCATTAATTATAGTAAGAATGAAAGTTTGAGCAATTATCGATGTATTGAATAACATTGAACAATTATATATAATTTTGTACTAGTTATCTAGAAGCACTTAAAAACCAATATCCGTAGTAGAGTCAGCCAAATTAGAAGAGTTCCCTCTATTATGCATGACTTTTCATGAACGAATAAAGCCTCGAACCTTTTCTCTGAGCACAACGGCCAACAGAGTACAAATTTCAATGAGGGTCTTCAATCTAATTCTCGATGATGAACAATAAAATGGATTAGTAACAATGTCAGGAGTCGGAAAATTAATTGGTCCAAAATTAGATGGATAAACGAACCGTTTCAGAGTAGTCAACCAATGCCTATTAATCAGATGGTGTTGTGTCCGCTTATAGGAACGAACGCCCATAGCGCGTGAGGGAGCAACAGCCAGAGAAGAGACCATAACAGGCACAGGAGCTGTAGGATTCTCGATTGAGGTAGTAGGGGACGATTCGACCATCGTAAGAGTAGCGAAGCCATACGCTCATGCGCAAAGGAAACAATATCATGCCTAGGTCAAGGCTGGGCACCAGCATCTGATAAATGTTGAACACGAAGCCAATCACCAAATTGAGAGGCATAAGTGGCAACGTTGTCTCACTAAGCACACTTTGACATTGTATGGCCGAGCAGACCACAATCAAAACAAAATGTCAAAAGACATTCATATTTCAACAAGCAAAGACGCGACCAGTCATTCTCTCCGCATCCAACAACAACACAATCTTGTAATGGCCTTTGGATATCAATAGGAACACGAAGGCGACGATAGGATCCCATCTAAACGAACCCATTGCGAAGATCAATGGCAAGAGGGTCCCCTAGACCAATTAATGTACCCATAGACTCAATCATCCACCCTAGAGTGACATCATAAACACATACCCGAATCGAATGAAGATTAAAGTAATAATCACTAAGACTACTCTCGGCAATATAAGACATCATAACCAACATATCACCATTAAATAGCCAAGGTGTTCTATGTAAGATTGTGTCCTTCGCAACAGTGGCGGATCCATAAATTTAAGAATGGAGGTCCAAAATTTTAATTTTTTTTCTTTTTTCCTTAACACATTAATTTAAATTTAACCACTTTTCCAAAATAATGTGATACACTTAACCCCTATGTAGGCTTAGTGCATCCGCCACTTCTTCGCAAATACAAAATCAAACTTAAAGAGGTTGTGTTAACCACCTAAATGAGCAATATCATCGACAAACGCCAGACCCTAAATGTTGCGAAAAACCCTGATGACAGAATTAAGATCAACTGGGACAGCATAGAGTAGCTAGGTAGCCCACCACCAGAAAGGGTTAAGTCGTTCGAGACAAATGGAATCTAGAAGAGAGCACGTCACTGGTTTCATCCTTTGTAAACCTGAGATTAGCCATAAGATATCGGACATCATCAGCCATAGAAGCAAAAGAAATTGGCCAAAATGCGAGATGAAAGTGAAAGAGGAAAACACACTAGTACAGACATGTAGAAGAAGGATAAAGCCCAAGAACTACACTAAAAACCGCTGCAAAACCATAGCTACCAGTATGATAGAGAGGAAGGCCCTGGTAATACCAATAGCTAGTGGCCACGTGCTCAGGAAAAGAACTAGACCCATGCATGTGCCATGCAAAAGAACTGAATTACGTCTCTCGCACCATCCCGACCGAACACAAATAATTACCACCCGAAGAAACAAACTCCGTAAGGAAAATAATAGATAAAGATTTCGATAGCGGTTGGAATGCCTCTGCCATCAAAAGGATACAACCATTCCAGAATGAGAGAGGAACCAGTGATTGTGGGCCTAATCCGAGAAGAAGGATGAAAAGTCGTACATAGAATAACAATATCAGAGAAAATCCCAATATCCCAACAGAAGAGCTGGTCGTCCTATGGGAGCAAAGAAACAAGAGACAAGCGAAGGATCGAAGGAGACCGATGAACCAAACCTGCACCGGAGGCCGGAAGAGAACTTTGGTAGTGAAGACACCCTCTAACCACAAGAGTGTCGCGAGAGTCCAAGAGATAGGCCATTGTCACAAAAATTAATTGATTAAATTGAAAACAAAGATATAATGAAAATATATTAAATGAACCCATCTAACGACTTCACTTCAATGGTTAAAAGGATGTTGTTCTCCCTAGAGGTTTTGGATTTGAATAGTTGCATCTGTAATGTGTGTACATTGTCAATGACTAAGAAAAATTATAAACAAATATTCTATATCTTATAATAAAAATATTAAATACAAGTTTACATAATACTAAATTTTTAATTAAGTGAAATAAAAGTTGTAATATTTATTTTAATTAAAAACTGCTATAGAATAAAAGATAAAATATATAGATTATAATAAATAAAAATTCCAAAAAATTTAGAGGAAGAGGCAAAACGAGTAAAAGGCTACTCCATCAGTTACCCGTAATACTCGCTCATTCCTTGTATCGCAAACCTTTCTCTCTTCCTCCTCTAGGCTCCTCCTTCCAAACTCTTCCGATGAGAGTAATAACAAAACAAAACAAAACCCAAAATTCCACAAACATTTTCCATT